TCCTGTACCTGCAGGATGACTTAAGTGTAGGCAATCAGTGGCAAAACTTCAATTGAGAAAATGTTCCCATAACATTAGTCTGTAGGGCCGGGCTGTGGTGGTGATGCATGCTTTTAATCACAGCACTGGGGAGGCAGAGGCAGGTGGATCTCTGTGAGTTCAGCCTGGTCTACAAGAGCTAGTTTCAGGACAGGCTCCAAAGCTACAGAAAAACCCTGTCTAAAAAAAAAAAAGAAAGAGAGAGAGAGAGAGAGAGAGAGAGAGAGAGAGAGAGAGAAGAAAGAAAGAAAGGAAAAGAAAAAAAATTAGTCTGTAGGTAAGTTTGTAGGGCATTTTTGTTTGTTTGTTTGTTTGTTAATGATTGATGTTCTGGTGCCCATCTAATTGTGGGTGGCTCCACCCCTGGTTAGGTGGCCCTGGGACACATAAGAAAACAAATAGAACAAGCCAGTAAGCAGCAGCCCTCTAGGCTCCTGCCTCCTGCTCTTGCCTTGACCTGCATGACTTTCGTTCACAGTGGACTACAATGATAAGATGAAACAGACCCTGTCTCCCAAGTTGCTTTTGTTCATGGTCTTCATTCCAGGAACAGAAAGGTAAGTGAAAAAGTAAACTGGTCTGCTCAAGCTGTGATTTGCTTATTCTCCACCAAGCTCAAATGTACATAAAGGAAAAAAAAAGAAGCCATCTATACCATGCCTATACATGTATATACATTCAGAAAAATCTGGGCAGAACAGCGCCCTCATTAACAACAAGGGACAAGACTTACTATATAAGAAAGTAATAAAGAAACTAAAAGGGGTTGCCCCAAGTCTTAGACAGTTTAATATTACCTGAAGGATTAGTAGTGGGAGCCTGATCAGGGTTGCACACACCTTTAATCCCTGCACCCAGGTGGCAGAGGTAGGCAGACATCTGTGAGATCAAGGCTAACTCTGAAGAGTAAGTTCCAGGACAGTCAGAGCTATGTAGAGAGACCCTGTCTCAAAACAAACAAGAAAAAGGAAGGAAGAAATATAAAAAGGAATAAAGGATGGAAGAGAAAGGAAGGAAGAAAGGAAGAGTGTGGTGGTAAATGTTTCAGGGCATGAACAGAGACATTCCCTGGAAATTTGTGGTGGACACAGCAGCAAAGCAAGCGCGTCTCCAGGCAGAAGTGTCTGAGTTCCACACAGCTCCTGCTTTCTCCCCACCCAGTGCCTCTCTCCCACTTTTACCCAAGAGTGAGCAGTTGGAGAATCCAGGAGCTTCTAAAAGCTTCTGAGGAAGATGGGCTCCTGTCTGAGAACTACGATGACAGAAATACTAAGTGAGCTCCACCAAGAGAGTCCCTGGGTTCACAGACTTTGAGTGACACTGTCTTAAAACTTTACAAATGCATAAACGTAGACAGAGGTTTCTGTCCCGCCCAGTCCCGCAGTTCTTCAGTCCCAAAGAAACACACAGAGGTCTACATTAATTATAAACTGGTTGGCCTATTAGCTCAGACTCCTTATTAACTCTTACATCTTAAATTAACCCATAATTCTTTTTTCTTTTCTTTCTTTTTTTTTATTAATTTATAAAAAATTTCCACTTCCGCCCCTCCTCCCAATACCCTCCCACTCCCCCCCACTCCTTCTCCTCCTCCCTCTCCAGTCCTAAGAGCAGTCAGGGTTTCCTGCCCTGTGGGAAGTTCAAGTTCCTCCCCCCTCCCTCCAGGTCTAGGAAGGTGAGCATCCAAACAGACTAGGATCCCAAAAAGCCAGTACATGCAGAGGAAACAAGTCCCAGTGCCATTATCAATGACTTCTCAGACAGTCCCCGTGTCAGCCACATTCAGAGAATCCGATTTGATCACATGCTAGTTCAGTCCCAGTCCAGCTGGCCTTGGTGAGCTCTCATTAGATCAGTCCCCTTGTATCAGTGGGTGAACGCACCCCTCACAGTCCTGACTTCCTTGTTCATGTTCTCCCTCCTTCTGCTTCTCATTTGGACTTAGGGAGTTAAGTCCAGTGTTCCAATGTGTTAACCCATAGTTCTTGTCTGTGTCAGCCACATGGCTTGGTACCTTTTATCAGTGAGGTGTTCTCATCTTGCTTCCTCTGTGTTGACTGCAGACTGCCTTTCTGCTTCCCAGAATTCTCCTATTCTGGTTACCCCACCTATACATAAAGGTCTGTACAGTAGCCAAACAATAACACAGAGTTGACCCATATGTAAAATGACTTAACCTTAAGGAAACAATGGATGGGAGGAGAAAATCTAGGGCTAAGACACTTCCAGAGCATCCAAACTGATTACACTGAGATGCTCAAGGCAGTCGGGCATCTTTCAGTTAGACATCTTTTAGTTATTAAAGATTGATTATTAAATCTTTTAATTATTTAGTTATTAAAAATTGATTAGTGATCAATTAACTGAATTGGGTTGAAGTTATCCCATCGACAAATGCTGCTGGTCCTCATGTTACCAAGGTGCTGTTGAAAATAGAGCTTTAGAAAGTGGAAGGCATTTCACAGCCAACTCCCTCAGAGGTCTCACCATGACTCTGGGAAGTCACTGGGCCTATCATATCCCTGGAACTGTCCCTTCTCAGGTGAGATGAAAAGGACGAATCAGGCTCTCAAGGGTCAAATAAACAAATTTGTCCTGGACTCCCCTGGACAAAGTGTCTTTCAATTGTTTGCCTAAGAGTCAGAATAGCCCACAAAAGGACTGCCTCATCTCATGAAACATTTACAGGCTGCCCGTTTGAGTCAATCTACTGGCCTTCCTGCTTTAAAACTAAAGACCTTTTCCTGTGGAATTACATGCTTGGTTTGTCTTCTGTTTTATCATCCTCCAGGCAACAGGGCCTACGTCCGATGTCTCTGATTGAGTCCCTGGATTACACCACTGGTTGAGTTCTACTAAGTCTTAGAAGGAAAACAAGCTTGAGTCCACCTGGGAGGGACTTATCAGGTGCCACTCACCAGGGAGACTGAGGTTCCTACTGCCTAGAAAAGGTGGACTCACGACACAGGGTAAAGAAGTCATTCTCCTCAGACTCTGGGAAAAGTTGATGGCCATTCCTAGCTCATCTGCCACCAAACTGACTCTAAATAGATTCTGATATTGTTACTGCATTGCATCCAGATGATTAACTGTGCCTGGGTCATTAATAAAACAGAGACCAGTTCTCCCTGACTGCTAAATTTGATGCCTCTCTTGTTTTTTTTTTTCATGTGAAAAGCAAGATCAACAGACTCCATTCAGACAGAAAGCATATGCAGGCATGCCCACATCGGAATCCTCCTATATACCTGTGCTGGAGAGCCATCTGTCAACTTGACCCAGCTAGATTTTTTTCCCAGAGGAGGGAACCTCAACTGAGAAAATGCCTTCATAACACTGGGCTATAGGCAAGCCTGTATGGCATTTTCTTAGTTAGCAATGGATGGGCGATCCAGTCTCTATGAATCCTCAGATCGAATGGGGCCACGATCCTTTCTCCACCCACATTATATTCCTGTTTCTACCTCCCAAGTGCTGGGTTCCAAGTCATGAGATCCCAAGTGCTGAGATAAAAGGTGTGAGCCACCACCACAGGCTCTGTTTCTCTTTTTAGAGTGGTTCAATCTCATGCAGCCCAGGGTGGCCTTGAACTCCTGGTCTTACTGCTTACTGCTAGCATTAAACGTGTGTGTCCCCACTGCCTGACCTCTATGGTTAACTAGTGGCTAGTTCCTCCCTCTGATCTCCAGGCAAACTTTATTTGTCAGAACACAAACAAAATATCATACAACATTTCTCCCCCCAAAAAATTTGTTTTTGTCTAAACAAAAAGCAAAGATTTTAACTAACAGAAAAAACAATATACAATAAGTACGGTAACTATATACAAATATATATAGGAAATAATTACATTAACAATATCTAGTCCATTAGCATTTGACAAATTCATAGAAAATACTCCATTATCTATCCTATCTTTGTGAGTCTAAAGTCTTGTACCTAATTCACTTTTTATCCTAACTTACATTACCAATCCCAAACTATCTTTTTATGTCTCTCAATCTCATACACTTTACACCTCTTTAGTGAATTTATTTTCTGAATCTGGTAACAAGGAAAACTATAACTATCTAGTCTTCCACTTCATCAGAGACCCGAGAAGAATATGATATTACCTGAGAAAATAGGAACTGTAGAGCAAATAACTTCCAAAAAATAAGACATGACAGACACAGCTGACTGCCTAGACAGTCTCACAGAGGTTCCTCTGTAACACTGGGGCATCCATCTTCGAACTATGGACCTAGAATATCTGACAAACTTTTCAGTGAAGCAGAATTTTTAAAGGTCTGTCCCACCTTGTCTTGGTAAAATTCTTCAGTTACTTTCTTTTCTGTCCTGCTTGTCCAGTTTGGACAGCATACTGTCAGCAGTCAAGGCTAGGGCAGCTTCTTGCCCAGTGGTTAACTTTTGCCACTGAGAGTAAACTTGATATGAAGTTTCTTCAATGCTCATCATCTTCTCGGGAGCATACTGGTGCTGCCAGGAGTAAACACATCCCATTGTCATAAAAAACATATGCTATTAAAGCACCGTAAATACCCTATTCTGTAGATCTCAGAAGTATTTGAAGGCTGCTTGCTTATCTAAAATATATCTGTTTGACCTTGAAAACATACCGAACTTGACTACAAGTTTGATTGTAATAGGTGACCAACTACTAACCTGCATTTCTTTCTTTCTTTTATCTTTTAAAATTTAGTTATTTATTTACTTTGGGGTAGAACTTAATCTAGGGTGATTTCAGGAGATTTAAGGTTATCTTTGGGTATAAGTGATCTCATAAGTCATCATTACTTAGGGAAAGAAAGCAATTCAAACTCAAAAAAAGAAAATTACAATAACCATATATACAACAAGAAAATGCTAACCTGCTCTAATTCTAATACCTTAGAATTCCTAGAGGCAGGAAGCTTGGCTTTGATATGCAAATCTCTCAAATAATATTTTTCTCAAAATTCTAACAGTGGTCCAAAATCTGACTGAAACCTAATATACAAAAGCAGGAAGTGCTGGCAAGTAGCAAAACTATTAAGAACGAAAAGTGTTCTGTCATAGAACTCATGCACATAACACATACTTGTCACCCAGCACTCTGGAGGCTGCAGAAGGAAGACAGCAAGTTTGCAGCCAACCTGACTACATAGGGAAACCCACTCTCAGAAAACAAAACAAAACAAAACAAAAGTTCTGTTATGCTGACATTATATACTAATTCCAAAGGTATTGATTTGGAAACTTGTTTCTGCTGCCAGAAGATAAAACTTATGCATACAAGGGCTACCTGAGCCACCTTTCTCTCAAGTTCAGGGTCCTCAGTGGTTGCTCAGCCCTAAGAACAGAGGCTGAACATCGTGCCTTGGATCACTTCCTGGCAGAGCCCAGGAGTCCCACGGGATCAGAAATCGGCTTCTATAAGACCCAAACACCATTTCCTCTCCCCGAAACCTCTTTTGAATGTAGGACAAAGATCCAAAGTGATCCATCACATACAATCAGAACATACATCAGTCCTGTGCAGTGCAGGCCCAGCCATGCAACCAAATCAAATTCCAGAGACTCTTTTCCACATGTGAGGATGTCTTGCTGATGCTGAGCTATGGAGTGTTCCTCTGTAGGTAAAACAGACACATCCATCCTCAATACTCTGAATAATGAACCATAATGATAAGCACCAAGCCATTCCAGAGACCTGCGAATCGGTGGAAAGACAATGAGTCTAAGATTCAGAAGCGTAAGCTTGTTTCCTTCTGGCTACCAGGTATTTGGCTCCCTACAGGTCAGGGCGCAGTAGCAGGATAATTGCTTTGTTGACAGACATTCTTGGACCAAAAAAAAAAAAAGTCTGGTGAGGCTGGCCATAGAGCCCACTTTCTAAGAAGTACGGACATAATCTTGCCTAAGACCCACAGAGCAGCCTGGGGACCAAAAGCCCCTTTGTGACTAACTCAATTTAAATCAAAGAAACCGTCACCTGGGTTGTCAGAAGCTAAGAACTGAGGACAGAATGGAACCTCGTGACGGCCACTACTTCTTCAACCCCAGCACCTACCACTCAGAGCTTGAGCAAAGGTGGGGTACTTTAGTTACTCACAGCCATGCTAGAAGGCCGGTGAGCCCCCAGCCTTGCCATACTCCTGCTCCGAGTAGCTAGTAGAAAGGTTGGGCTGGCTCGAGCCACGGCCGAAGGTAATCTGGTTGCTGCCCACACCAGTGGCCACCTGAGTCATGCGTTCTTTGGTTTTGAGAGCCTCGACCCGCTCAGTCTTCAGTTGCTCCTCATCTTTGAGGAGAACAACCAGCTGCTTTGAATTCTCTCGCATGTCGAATCCCTGATCTTTGCCAAAGTCCTTCAGAGTCTGAACGGCAAAGGTGTTCTCACGGCACTCTGGGCTTCCCGCTGAGAAGCAGTTTGGATAAGGCAGTCCAGCAGTGTCGGGCCTTGTACACGTGCCTCCAGTTCTTGCCATGGTCATTAAGTTGCTTCCAAACCATGCTCACGATCTCCGAAAGGCCACAACATTGTAGGTCAGGTCAGCAAGCTCGGTCATCAGAGAGCCAAATGGGCCTCACGGGTCATTGGAGGTGGCTTCCCGAACTTCCAACGGTTTCAGCCTCTGAGTAATTTTTCACAAAGCCCTTCAAGAGAAGCTTTTCTCTCCCTGGGTCTGCTCTCTAGGAAGAGCGTCAGTGTGGTAATGCAGAGGGAACAGAAAGATGCTCTACAGTGGTCTCGTCCGAATCCTCAGGTCCCAGAAGCTGCAAGCCACGCCCTCTACCAAGACTGGGCGACTGGAAACTAACCCTTTGTTTCTTTATTATCCTAAATGGTTTGCAGTAATAACTTTCAAAGACTAGAAATTTATATTGCGTTGTTAGATGAGCCACATACGCGCAATATGAAAAGAGTAGCAGTGTGTGTACAGTGTGTTCTCACCAAAATCACCTTGAATTTGTATCAGTATACAAAAATCCACAGCAATGTAAAGTATTTAAAACTAGTAGTTGCTTTTTTGGTTTAAAGTAGGTTCAATAATCCACCTTTTATTGATCTCCCACCAATGTGGTGAAATACACGCTAAGCGAACTTCTCATTCTGGTGTGCTCACCCATTTGGACTGTTGTACACACTTTTGCCAAGGTAAATATTGCCTGATTTACTTTTATTTTGTTTGTGTTTTCTTGTGTGACACTTGGAATAATCTTTTCCAACCACATGACCCACGGAGCTACTTCTTGGACTGCTTTTCCTGTTTAAAGCCTGTTACTAGCTGTCTTCCATATCCTTATTTTGTTTATTTGTTTAGGTGGTTTGAGACAGGAGCTTACCAGATAGTCTAGAGTGACCTGAAGCTCACCGTGTAACCGAGGCTAGTTTTGAATTCCTCCTGTCTGAGCCTCCTGAGTCCTAGAATTATAGGTGTGTGAACTTCTCATTTGGAATTGACTCATTGTTCTTGGTGATTCCTGCATGTGGGTGCCATTATTTCATTTTTCCTTAAAGATTTCAGATACACTTATTTGTGTACCTTGACACATGTTCTACTGTGCATGGAAATTAACTTCTCATATAATTTTCTGCAATGTTTTTCTTATTGTTTGTCTTTCCTATTTGGTGGCTCAGATAACATACACTAAGTGTAGGACTTTGATAGGTTAAGTTGGAGAACAATTCAGAACCCGGTTTCTACGGCCATCCCCCTGCCTTTCCAGTCTTGACATTCCTCTGGTCCTCCTTCCTTAAAAATGCAAACAGGAGCCAGGTGGTGGTGGTGCACGCCTTTAATCCCAGCACTTGGAAGGCAGAGGCAGGTGGATCTCTGTAAATTTGAGGCCAGCCTGGTCTGCAGAGCAAGTTCCAGTACAACCAGGGCTACACACAAAGAAACTATGTCTAGAAAAACAACAACAATAACAAAAATGCAGACAGGGGCTTTTAGTGAAGTCCCCTGACTACCAAAAGACGAACAAATGTCTTAAAATCTACTAACCAAGGGAAAGGACAGGGCTGACAAACAACCAGCAGGCCCAGAGCTCAGGGAACTTCTGTGTGCTTCCCAGCTCTTTTCTTTCTTCTAAACATCATCTACTCCCTTACGATGCCTCTTAAGCCCTCCCTTGTCCCTTACACACACACACACACACACAGAGACACAGAGACACACACAGACACACACACACACACTATGTAGGTTTCAACCTACTGACCTTTTCTCTGGGATTTTGTGTCTGGCTGGCTCTGTATACATTAATAACTGTGCTAAGTGCTTCTTTTGTCAGTCTGCCTTTTGTGGTAGGGTATCATCCAGGCCTCTAATATTGTACTGGGAGGACCAGGCCACTTTTCTTTCCCGCCCCATCTTTCCACTCACCAGAATTTCACCTGGTGCACTCCAATCCCGTGTCAGAGGGTTTATTCTACTTTTCGGTAATTGTTCTGTTGAGAAGCGCTGTGGTAGGATCCTCTTAAAGTGTTCAGTTCAGGTTCAGGGTTCATGTTGGTGGCTCCGAGTACCAAACAATGTAACCCAGAGGGCTGGAGCTCGTGGGGTGCTACATGCAATGGAACTCTAAGCCCTAGAGAAGCTATGTGAAGCTTGTGTGCGAGAGGCTAGGCAGGCAGTGGTCTGTTTGGTCTTCCTGTTTCAGGGCAGACAGAAAGAGCCCTTCTCCTTCATACTGTGACGTCTTCAGACTCAGCCCAGTCAGGCAGCAGCTTTGCTGTTCGGCAGTAACCTGAGCATGGTTTTGACTAAAATGTTAAGGTGCATGCTGTTGCTTTGTTCTGGAGTTTTAAGGGTGGATGGTCTCCTGGTCAGAATGCACAACTTAACTTTCTAGAAGGTAATGTCTCTACAACCTGGCCTTGCACTAGACTCAACCCAGTCTCCCCAGTCAAGTTCCCTGTAGAGTGCTGTCTATTGCCCAGTGAGGACTTTCACAAGGGCAACAAGCGAAGATAAGAAGGGCTCAGTTGCTGGGACACTTGAGTGCTTACCTTAGGAGGCATGTTTGTTTGACCTGGATGTCTTCTGCCTTGAGACTGGGACTTGCTTGTATCTATGGTCCTGATACCAGGAGTTCAAGATCCAAACTCTACCACCTGGTCACCTGTGGTGTCTGGGCTTTGTGTAAAGGGCTGAGCCAGCTAAGAGCTGGTCCAGGTTCTCTGACAGGAACGAGAGTGGAAGAGAGGCAATGTCAGTGGCAGACGGAAGCCTGGCTAGCTTCTGAGGGCAATGGCCTGTTGTTTCAGCTGTTTCTCTACGAATTTCTGTTCCAGGAAACAAGTGAAGTCATGCTTGTCAAATAGGCAGTACAAACAGTACGTTGAGTGCTAATCAAATCAATCAATAAATCAATATCCAGTGCTGCAGGAGCACCTTCCACTCCTTCAGCCAATAGCTACTGAGATACCAGCCCACTGGGCGTGGTCTCTTTCTCTTTAAAAAGCAGTGGCAGCCCTCCACTTGCTCTCTTGCTTCTGGCTCTGCTTCTGGCTCCTAGACTCCTTTCCTGATCACGTAGAGGGCTGTTGTCTAGGACGGTGATCTGGAAGTTTTTCCCCTTTAAATAAATAACCATTCTATTAATCATAATTCCAAACTGGTGTGGGATTGTTTGTGACTTACACCTTCATCTGGTGCCCAAACGTTTGGTTTTAGAACCCCCTCATTCCCCTCCCCCCCAGCTGTCTGCCGCCAGCTCGGCTAGGCACGAGCCCTCCCTCAGCTGCGGCCTGTGCCCTGTGCATGAAGCCAGCAGTTCAATATAAATTATCATGCAGTGGCTTTTCTTGATGTAATTCTTTTCTCTTTACACGTCTCAGATTGGCTTCAAGTCCCCACGCACCCTATCGTTTGCCTCCCCATGTGGATTTAAACTCCACGCCTTCTGGGCTCCACAGGTCCCAACAGTCTCTATCTGCCTGGTTTGCTCTTTTCTGAGTCATTTTTAAATCTTCCTTGCAAGCGCAGTGCTTAAGTGGCGCTAATCAGAGCTCAAGGGGTTGCCCTCAAGCAGTAGCTAAAAGCTGCAACCCCTCGGGGCCACTATGTCATGTGGAGGCATATGCGGCTTCCAGGTTGCACTTCTCTACCCCTGGATTCTGGATTTCTGGTTCTGTGTATGGAATTGATTTAATTGCATTTACTTTGTTGAACAGCTCATAAGGCAGACACTGAAACAGGACCCTGTTTCAGTCACCTTTGCAGTGGTTCTAGTCGTGACTTGGCAACAGCGCCACCTGCTGGATAATAGGCAATATTGCAGTTTTCATTTCCAATGTAAATTTTACGGCTTTCTTTACTAATACAATGGATCATATCATGCAAGGTTTATATGACTATGGGGATACCTCAATTTACTGGTTACTAGGTTTCAGTTTTCTTTTCCATATTCTATCATTAAGGAATAATATGGCACTCCTGAGAATGATTCAATCTTTAAGGGCTAATAATGAATGGCTAGTTGAAAGGATTAAAAGTATTGAAAATCAGAGGTTATATGAACAAGTGGATACTATGATAGGCAAGATTGACTCCATATCCAAGGGTACTAGGAAGTTACCTGAAAGGGTTCAGGCTGTTGAATTTGACATTCAGACATTATCACAAAGTATTGATAAGATAATAGACAGAATGTACCTCCAGGATGGGAACCTACATGATATCCAAGAGAAGTTCAAGGAGGACATGTTATCTTTGAAGGAAAAAATTAAAACCTTGGAATCACAGATGCAGAATGGGGACCAAAAAATTGATACCTTAATGAAATCACTAGAAACACATGCAGGTCAGGAGATTCAGGATTTAAGAGAGACAATGATAAAAAGATTTGAAATGACTGAAGAAATTATTGGAGTTGATGAACAGAGTAAGAAGGCACAAGGACAGGACACAATGCCACCACCAGCTGTTAGAACTAGCTTACCCAGGGTTCTAATGACATACCCTGTAATTTATCCTGACAAAGTGTCAACTTCTAAAGGCTCAAAGAGAGTCAAAGAAGCTAGATGGATGCCAATAGGAATGAATGATCTAAAAGAAATTAAGCAAGCTGTCATTAATTATGGCTTGCACTCTGCATTTGTTAAGGAAATGATTAGGACTTGGGCTTCTAATGTCAGAACTACCCCACCCCCCATGATTTCTCTCAGTTAGTGTCTGCAGTTTTAGATGATGGACCTTCCTTGATGTTTGGAATTTATTTCAGAGAAGAATCCAAATTTTTGAAAATGCAAACATAGAATGCAAAAAGATAATTGGGCCTTTAAGGTCTAGATCAGCACCTATGGATGAATGGATTCAGCATACGATGAATGTTGAGATGTTTGGCTATAATGATGAATCTTATAGGAGGATAAGGGTAGGATAAGGTATAGGGTAGGAGAAGCGATTTCTAAAACAAGAGGAGACATCAAACTGCCAGGTGTTTTAAGTGTGGTAAATATGGACACCTGAAAAGGGATTACAGGCAAAGAATTTCTAGGAATAATATCTCCTT